GAGATGAATGGAGGTTCCAGCTAAACACTGGACTTGCAAACCATCAACAATTTAAAAACCTAAAAAGGAAACAGCAAATTACTTGAGGAATCAACCAGTTGGACAGGATCTCCTCATAAAGGATTTCAAGGAAAAGTGTAAGAAAAAAATTTTCCTTGAGAAAATGTCTTCCCGAGAAAAGAGGAAGATATGAATAGTTGTCATGAGGTGAAATTACAGTACACAGTTAACAGTGGCTGATCATCTTTTACATTCTGAGGAACACTGCAGAGGAGAGTGCCCCTGAATTCTGAATTCTTTCTTATCCCCTAGACTTACCACCATTTCCTCTTTCGCCGTATGTTCCTGGAAGATGCAGAGGGATTGTCACAACTGCTCTTTGGTGATAGTCATGGGGGAATGACGGGGTGCTGAGGAGCATGGCATTGCACCTCTGGGAGGCAATGAGGTATTACAGAAATGCCATGATCTATGGAGTCACATATAGATGAGGTTGGATATGTCTCATAATTTTACTGCCACGAGTCTCACTTTCCTTGCCTGTTTGTTGTGAGGATAAATGAAATACGGCATATAAGACACCTGACATAAAGATGACACTGAGAATAACAGAAATTCCTTTCTATTCTCCTGGGGGAGAAAAGAGAACAGCCAAAATCTTGCTGTGTAAATAATATTAAATATTAATAATAACAGTTATTATTAATATTAAATAATAATATTAAAGGAGAAGTGAAGAAAAATCCTGCTTCTTAGAAGTTCTAGTTGTTAGGGACTGGAGCGATAGTACAGTGGGTAGGGTGTTTGCCTTGCATGCGGCCGACCTGGGTTTGATTCCTAGCATCCCATATGGTCCCCTGAGTACCGTCAGGAGTAATTCCTGAGTGAAGAGCCAGGAGTAACCCCTGTGCATCGCTGGGTGTGACCCAAAAAGAAAAAAAAATTCTGGTTGTTAAATATAACTGACTAGGTTTGGGGGACTAGGGTGCCAATCACATGCAATAGAAAATTTCAGAACATTTAATCGCCAAAATCTATTAATTGCCTGCCATTGAGCAGCATTCTTACTAGTAACATAAGCAGTTGATGAACTTGTACTTTGCAAGCTATAGATATTATATACTATATCTTACATTAAGGTAAGATTCAAAAAAGAAAGTGTTTTGAATAATAATAAGTGGATTATCACAAAGGCAATTTTTGTTTTTACCTTGTTTAGGTTGGATAGAACAAAAAGGAAACAGACCCTTGAACTTCAAACTTGTGTTGTTTAAAGGTCAACTGTAGTTATTTGAACTATGCTTATTTATAATTAGAGTCTCCTGGAGTACGACCAGTAATAGATCCCAAATGGATTTAGTTTAGTTTAGGGATCAGCTCAATGTTTTGCATGCAGGATGCCTGAATTCAACTCCTAGCACCACATTATTCCTGAGCACCATAGGAGGTACCTTCAAATACTACCTGGTATGCCCCCCAATAATACCAAAATAAAAAATGAAATACAAAAATGATTTTATTTATTGATTCTGCAAGTGTTATTTATATCAGTTGTTTCACATATTGCAATGTGTAATATGGCTTAACTCTCTTTGTTTTTTAATTTGGGTGCCATGCCCAGTGGTGCTCAGGGCCTACTTCTGGAAGCTCTGTTCCAGGAGTTGCTCCGGGCAGTGCCAGGGATTGAAGAAGTGGATTATCACAAAGGCAATCTGCATGTAAAGTCTGCACTTATCCCATTAATCTGTCTTTTCAGCCCAAGATGGCTGAGCTCTTACAAGCAAGCATTATTTTTTAAATTCTGCTGCTGCATACAAACCAGCAGGGTTGCAAAATACCATGGTGTGAAAAATCCTCACTTTATATTTAATAAAGAGAATGCTACAGCGAAGGAATTATATGTTTTAAATGAAAATCTCTGTGTCTTTTAATTATTTTGCCTCCTTTCTTTATCTAGATGAACAATAATTCTCTGTCACTGTCACTGTCCTCCCATTGTTCAATTTGCTCGAGTGGGCCCAGTAACATCTCCATTGTGTGACTTGTTGTTACTGTGCTTGGCATATCGAATACGTCACAGGTAGCTTGCCAGGCTTTGCCATGTGGGCGAGATACTCTCTGAGAGGGGCAGAGGAATCGAACTCGGGTCAGCCATATTGGCTGCGTGCAAGGTGAACGCCCTACCCGCTGTGCTATTGCTCCAGCCCATATAATTCTCTATGTGTATAAATATAAGTACAACATTTAGCTACTTCTATCTCTCATCCAACCACCTGAGTAGGATGCAGGAGTGGCCCTCACGATGCTTCTTTTGTTGTTGAATTGACTCAGTATGCGCTGAAAAAGAAAACAAAAATCCCTGACACTGCATATGGCCCTTTTTAAGACCTTCCACAATAAGTGTTTAAAAAAACAACAACTATCCTTTAATACACAGTGCTAATGACACACTAACCTTCAGGAAAATTTAAAGAAGGGTGCTTGGAATTTCACACTGTTGATGGATGGACCAGAAGTGACAAGGAAGAATTCTCATATTTTCATACTATGGGTGTCTGAACTAGATCACAAGGAATAAGTGGGGACAATGAGGTCATGGAAATACCAGAAATTCCCCATTTTTAGAGATAAAGGACATTTCACCACTTGCTTAGAAGGTTTATGGTTAATGAGAGACTTTCTTCTCCAAGTGTAGACCACCACTAATCTCTATCTCATTACAGAATCTTGAAAGAGAGGAAGGCTTCCCCTTGTACAAACTGGGTTTTTTGTCTTTATAAAAATTAAAAGATCAAGGGACCTTAGTGATAGCACAGCAGCTAGAACACTTGTCTTGAGCTCAGCAATCCCAGGTTCAATCCCCAGCACGTCATATGGTCCCCATAAGCCTACCAGGAGTGATCCCTGAGTGCAAAGCCAGGAGTAAGCTCTAAGCACTGGCAGATGTAGCCCAATAAAAATAAAATAAAAAATTTTTGAAAAGAAAAAGAGTGGTCCTGGGAAATAGCAAAGTGAGTAGTCTTTTTCTTTGCATATGGATGACCTGGGTTTGATCCCTGGCACCACATATGTTCCTCTGAGTTCTGACAGGAATGATTCCTAAGCACAGAGTCAGGAGTAAGTCCTGAGCATTGCCAGGTGCTGTCCCCCAAATATAAAATAAATGAACAAATTTACTTATTTATTTTTATTTTAGCTTTATAATTAAGGGCTAGAGTGATAGCACAGCGGGTAGGGCATTTGCCTTGCATGCGACCATCCTGGCCGACCTGATTTCAATTCCTCCACCCCTCTCAGAGAGCCCCGCAAGCTACCGAGAGTATCTCGCCTGCACAGCAAAGCCTGGCAAGCTACCCGTGACGTGTTCAATATGCCAAGCACAGTAACAACAAGTCTCACCATGTTACTGGGCCTGCTCGAGTAAATCGATGAACAACAGGAGGACAGTGACAGTGACAGTTTATAATTAAGGTTTAGAATTACTATTATAAGATTATACATAAACTCTAAGTGGGTATCTAAGATGAAGTATGAATAAGTCATTTAAATTCTTTTTAGTAACTCAGTTCTGTGGAATACTGTTTAAACCAGGAATTCAAGGAAGGAAGATTGCACTGTGGCAGAGTGCAGAGACAGTTTTGCTCCTTTGCCCATTTTTTATCAAAAGATTCCTTTACATACCATTGAGCTAATACACTATTGGGAGACAGTGGCATCCACATGGCGAGTAAGTGGCATTCTGAAGATCCTTAGTGCTCCTTTAATCTACTTCTATCTTCTTGGTATGATAATAGAACCTGCTCGACCACGGGAAATATGGATTGCCACTGGCTTCAATAAAAGCACTCTCATTATTTCCTGGTATGAAAATGATCTCTGCTTAAAAGTAGAGAAAATTAAATTGCTGACTTTATTCTGCTTCCATGGTGCCATCAAAAATCACAAGGAGTTCAGCTTTAAAAAATAACAACCCCTCCCCAGGAAAATCCACCTCTAACAGAACGTGAGAGTTAGGGGCTAGAGAGGTAGTACAGGGAGTAAGGTGCTTGTGGTAACCCGGATTTGATCCCTGCTTCCCATATGGTCCCCCAAGCACCACCAGAAGTAATTCCTGAATATAGAGCCAGGAGTAACCCCTGAGCATAGCTAGGTGTGGCTCAAAAACAAACAAAACAAAACAAAAACATGAGAGTTGTAGCAATGCTTTTTTTGGTATTTATTTACTGCCCCAATTTGTGAGAATATTTATGTTTTCATTTTAGCTTTATAGTTAAGGTTTTGAATTAGTAATATAAGATCATACATAAACTCTAAGTGTATATCTAAGATGGAGTGCTATTGTTTTGTGTGAGTAAGAAAACCTAGAGGGACTTGGCTTTCTGTAGTTCATACAAAAATATACAATATCAAAATATACAAAATCAGTTGGTTGATAGTTTATGTCCATGACTGCAGGTGCAGCCTTCATATCCTTATTAGACCCCTGGTTAAAAACCTCTGCAACAGTGTTTGAAAAATCAAATTCACTGTCTAGGAAACTGGGAACTGAAAGACAAGTATTTTCCTCAGTAGAGTTCTGACACCTGCATTTTTCCTTTTGGGGATATCACAGTCAACAGCTGCATGGAGACTTTTACTATTCACAACTTCTGCATGTATCATAAAATGGTGATTAGTGTAAAACTGCCTCTCACCACAATTTACCAAGAACACAGGGACAGCTCATCTGATATCCAGAACCTTTCATGGCCTTATATAAGAAACCAGTTTACCAGTTCTACATAGTGTAAAACCAATCCTTTCAACTGAATGTCCATCCGTTATATCAGAAAACTGACATAGATGGGGGCTGGAAGAAGGCAGACATCAATGTAGGCAGAAAGCTCTTTGTAAATTTAGCATGTTTCTGTTCCATTTGAAACTATGTGGCTAGGCTTAGGTGTAGGGAGGAATAATAAGGATTAATGTGATCAGTTCTCAAGAATTTTCACTACCAACAGTACACAAGGGAGCTCCAGAAGGAAGCTATGGCTGCAGTAATACTGGAGAGCATCTTTCTGAAGCGATCCCAGCAGAAAAAGAAAACATCACCTTTAAACTTCAAGAAGCGTCTCTTTCTCTTGACTGTACAGAAACTTTCGTACTATGAGTATGACTTTGAACGTGGGGTAAGTTTCTTTGCTGTAATACTTAAGTATCAAAGACTTGGCCTTCCATCTTCCTGGAGAAAGATACAACTTCTTTGTTTTGAGGAGAGGCTGAAAGGAAACTTATTGCACCTCAAACTTAGAGGGTTGGAGAGATAGTACAGCAGGTATTTGGCTTGCCTTGCACGTGGATAACCTGGATTCAATCCCTGACACCTGCAGAGCCAGGAGTAAGCACTGAGCACAACCAGACGTAGCCCAATCACCAAAAAAAAAAAAAAAATCAAACTCAACAAAATGTTTTTAGCCAATATCTAGCTACAGTCATGATGGGGCAAAATTCAAAGGTATTCAAAAACTTTAGGGGAAACCATACTATAGAATCTTAATTTTAATTTAATTAGTGAGGAATCACTAATTAATTATCCAGAATTAAATTAAATTCGGCCATTGCTTCCTTATTTCATTTGACAAAGGCACACACATTCACACAATATTCTGTAGTATTTTCTCTCTATCTGTCAAAAAAGGTTAGATTATTAGATCTGGAAATTTTCAAAAGCTCATGTTCTGATACAGAGCATGAATGCTGTTTCTCTATGTTAAAGAATTAGATAATAAAACATAATTATCTAGTTACTTAATCCAGGTAATCCAATGCAAGTCATCTACTCTACCCCTGAACCACCTTCTTGGCCCCTAAGGGGTCAACTGTATGATTTAACTGTATGTGGTGCTGCTGCAGATCAAACCTAGGACCTAACAAACCTAGGGCTAACAAGGCAACCAAACGGCTTATCCCCAGTAATACCTCTTCAAGCCTCTCTTAAACACCTTTAATATTTCTCTATTTCTTCCTCACTCTATTCAGAGAAGAGGCAGTAAAAAGGGCTCAATAGATGTTGAGAAGATCACCTGCGTTGAAACAGTGGTTCCTGAAAAAAATCCTCCCCCTGAAAGACAAATTCCGGTAAGAAGATACCATTGTCACATCAGAGCAGGGAGACTGGGTGGTTGGTTAAGTAACTTGGGACAGTTCAATTTCTCTGTAAATAAACAGATGATATTGTGCAATGCAAAACACAGTAGAGCTTCTGTATAAAATTATTTATTTTGTTGTTTATTGGTTATTTGAGTCTGAGCATCTTTCACCAAGATACAAAACAAACTGATACAAAACAGTCTTGAAAATTTGTGAAATTAATTTTTGAATTATGTCATAACATACTAAGTATTTTAACTGAACAGAAATAGTTGGTTTTACTGTTTCAGTTACCAAGTTCAGTTTTACAGTTTTAATTTGAAAGTCAGAATTATAAGGCTCTGAGTCATTAAGATTTTTCTTTTTTTGAAAAGTAGATTTTATTAAAAGAAATTTATTTAAAGAATTGTGAAAGGCACAGGGGCCAAAACAATAGTACACGTCCCACCTGGGTTCAATCCCTGTTATTCCATATGATCCCTGTGCACTGACAGGAGTAATTCCTGCGTGCAGAGCAAGGATAACCTCTGAGCATCATCAAATGTGGCTCAAGAAGAAAAAAAGTGAAAGGAGAGAACGAGAGATACTTAAACTTGTTCAAGAAACGAGAGAGCTTCTCCAGAGTGGAAAAAGTTGGTTTAATAGCTTATTACTTATTTTCCTCTAACTTTCCAGATTCCATCCAGGAATACTGTCTTCTAAGTTGATTAAAAATATGTGTCATTTAGAGTCAGAGCTATAGTATAGTGGATGGGGTGCTTGCCTTGTGTGACATCCCAGAGCACCATGAGGAATAATTCCTGATCACAGAGCCAGGAGTAACCCCCGAGCATTTCAGGGTGTGGTCCAAAAAACAAAGGAAAAAAGAATTATAATTTATATCTTGCTTTGTAAGCTACATTTTCAATTTGACAGTATATGCAAACTTTTTTTCCAGGACAGTAGAAAGTCTTTAATAACACCGTTTTAGTAACTATGCTGTCTTCCATTTTCTGGGTACAATGTTAATTATTTAACCAATCTACTAGTGTGCATTTAAATTGTGTCTAGTTACTTGATATTATCACCATATCATGATAAACATACATTTTATATGCCTCTATCTTTCTTATAATAACTTTCTAGAAGTAAAATTTTGTTCTCTTTATGAAATCTGTACATTTGGTTATTTTTGGATTTTTATTACGTGTTACTGTCTAAAAGTGGAACTTGAATTTCATACACTACTAGAAGATATGTAGGAGGGTATTTATTTTTCTATAATATTTCTCTATCATTATTTCTCTATAAAATCCAATACCAGATATTCATAATATTTGACAGTCACAAAAAGTAATACTTTATTGCTGACTTATTTTGCAACAGTTTTGTTACTCATAAGGTTGAATAATTATCTGTATATGGTACATTTATATTTTTCATTTCTGAGTTGGCTATCATTTTTGCCCATTTTCTATTGCATTATTTAACCTATTATTAGTATTCTTCAAGAGATCTTAATATATAAGATTAATCCTTTAATAGAATGCGTGGCATCAAAGAAGGAATGCCTTGATTTCCCTGCATCCTAGGTTATAGAAATGAGAAAGCTCAGGGAGGAAAGAGATCAAGCAAGCTAGTAAGAAGAGGTGGATGGAAGGTAACAGGACCTGGGGTCAGGAGTCCCTAGTAAATCAGTGGTGTAGAGCTTGTGTATATTTTGAAACCACAGAGCTAATAGCACTGTAAGCAGGAGAACCAAACTACAGTAACAGAACACAAAAATGTGCCTGGAAAGGAGGCAGGATGGGGTGGAGGTAGGGTGAGGGGTCTGGGAAATATGGTGAAAGGAAGTTGACACTGGTGATGGGATTGGTGTTGGAACATTGTGTGCCTGAAACTATTGTGAACAATTTTGTCAATCAAGGTGCCTTAAATTTTAAAAGATAAATAATTTTAAAATATTAATCTTTTATGTATGTTGAAATATTTTTAATTTGTCTTTTTAAATCTTTATGGTGTTGTTGCTTTTCTTTTAAACCATACGGAGGTTTTCTTTTTTAAGTCTGTGTCATCAAATTCACTCATCTTTTTCTTTCTTTCATAATTGAATCACCATGAGATATAGTTACAAAGCTTTCATGATTGAGTTTCAGCCATACAGTGATTGAACACCCATCCCTCTACCAGTGTGCATATTCTATCACCAATGCCCCCAGTATCCCTCCTGCCACCCCACCCAACTCCACCCCACCCTCTGCGTCTATGGCTGACAATCTCCTTCTTTATCTCTACTTTTGGGCATTATGGTTTATAATACAGACACTGAGAGGCCATCATATTTGGTCCTTTATCTACTTTCAGCACACATTTCCCACCCCGAGTGATTCCTCCAACCATCATTGACTTAGTGGTCCCTTCTCTATCCCAGCTGCCTTCTCCTCCAGCTTGTGAGGCAGGATTTCAACTGTGGTCACTCATCTTTTTCTTAATGGTTCTGTTAGAATTATACTAGACCTTGCTACCCACAAAATGATATAGCTGCTAATACTATTTCTTGGTCACCCATGCTTTCCTTTTTTTGGTGTTAAGTGATTAAACCATCTGTATTTTACTCTACAGTGTAAATGCTTATCCCAGCACCATTTACTGAGTAACCTTCATTTCCTTAGTGATATAAAATTTCTGAGGTTTTGTTTTGCTTATATGTTTGAGTCAGTGTGTAGTGGATCCTATGGATAGGTCTCCCTGTTGGATTATAGAAATAAATAACTAAGCATTAACACTGTGCAGAAGAACATTCTAGAATCATTGTTAAAGAACCCCAGTTCATAAGGAAATTTAGAAAAGAACAATGCTTTAGTCAATAACCATGCCCTCATTCATTACAGAGAAGGGGTGAGGAATCCAGTGAAATGGAGCAGATTTCAATCATTGAAAGGTTCCCTTACCCTTTCCAGGTAAGATATTTTATCTGACCTATTCTCTGAAGGACTGTATGTGGCAAAGAGAATGATTCTAAATCCCAGTGAACTGAAGCTAAAGCAAATAAAAAACTGAACTTAGAAATGAGACTGGCATGGGATGAGGGTGTTTGATTTTCTATTTTCTTAATCTAACTAGTTTATTTTAGTTTCTACACCTCAAAGAGAATCCATAATGGCACAAATTCTATTATGGTGTGCCGGGTCAATGGTAATTGCATTGAGAAGATGCTCTATTTGTTGAGTGAGCATTTCACTTCCTTCTGGTTCTGCCTATTTGTCTAATGGTGGTCATGCGGGTTGAAAAGAAAGAGGAGGGTAGGAGTATTAGGAAATTCAGTATGTGGAAGACTTATTAGACTGACACACAAATCTATATCCCATTCTAGTCTAGAAAAAGCCACATAGACATCTGCTTGGTAGATGCAGTGTAAGTCATAAAGGAGAGCAGAAACTTCAGATTTTATCTTCAATTTGGCATTCTTATGTCCTGATAACTCTGTTGGCCACATGACATGAATATAGCAGCCTCTGCAACTGTGAAAGCCAGAAAAGGAAGTGGAAAGTCTCAGGGGAGGGGGCTTTCTGTCATGGACTTATAAACACAGCAAGACTAACAAGCAAAAGAAAATTATAAAAGGATCTCGTTCATGTTCCTCACTGTATCAAAGTTTACAAAACCTGCGAAGGCGTGTTTTAAATAGTCTTTTACTGGGGCTAGAAGGTTAAGTAGACATGGTCTTTAAGACTAGCACTGCATGGTTCCCTGAACACTGAAGGGAGCAACTTTCCCTCCAAGCAAAGGGCCAGGTATAGCCTGGGTATGGCCCAATCCCCTTTCCCACATAAGACCAGTTTTTACTTCTATTGTCTTTAAACAAGATGACTGGGTAAGTAGATAATAACAAATAGCAAGTAATTTAAAATTAATTTTCACTTCATTTTATAATTAGTTATAGGCCATAATTTAGATCTTTGGTGGTTGGAAACATTTTTTCATGCACCTCCATGATACTGAGCACAATGACTAAGTACATGTGAGATAGTCAAAAATACCAATTTGATTTTATCATAGTGCATAAGATATACTTTACTCGTTTTTGTTGTTCAAGGACACACTTAGCAGTATGTAGGTTTACTTTGGGCTACTCCCAGCAGAATGCTTGGGGGTTGCTTCAAGCAGTGCCCAGGAAACCATGTAGGGTTAGTGATCGAGTTCAGAGCTTTTGGTTACAGAGCATGCGCTTCTAGGCCTTTGAGTCGTTCTAAGTTTATTTTCACTAATATTGGGAAAGAGGACGCCATTAGGAAGTAGGAAAAGGAAGGAAAATTAGTTGTGATTTAAATTTTTTTCTCTATACAGCCAAGTGAATATGGCTAATTATCTATATGTATTAATTATGACCTGGGTTATATAAATCATTTCTTCAGTTCTCTTCTGTACAAGGTTAAAGCTTAATAATAAGATTATAGGTTTAATAATAAAAGAGACAGGAGCTGTTAAAGCACTTACCTTGCATGTACCTGTCCCTGGTTCAATCTCTAGTATTACGTAGTCCTCTAAGTATAGTCAGGAGCTATCCCCAGCATGGAGTTGGGAGTAGCGTCTGAGAACTGCCAGATGTGACCCAAACCCTCCCAAAAGTAGTTTATTGGGTCACCAGTTAATAATAACACTAATAAAATTATAAATCCCCTTTTCTAAAAATTCTGTCTCCTCCAAGGTCTGAGAAAAACATTATGAACTAAGTTCACACGAAAATTGAGGCATGAGTCAAGAAGACGTGGGGTATTCAAAAAAGCTAAAAAGAATTTCTAAGTCTTACGTTCTTAATGAATTGTTCAGGAATTCATAAAATAATTCATAGAATCCTAGATTACTGATGATTAAGGACCCTGTCTTTATTTGTTTTCCTCTATGAATAGAAGAATTGCAGCTTAAGATTAGTTCATTCAACATTTCCTCTTTTTTCCCTGAGTTCTAACTGCTGAAATCTTTGCCCCAGGTTGTATATGATGAAGGACCTCTCTATGTCTTCTCCCCAACTGAAGAACTGAGGAAACGTTGGATTCACCAGCTCAAAAATGGTGAGAATCATACAGATAATAAAGTAGTTTTCAAGGAAAGAAGGAAGGGAAAATATGAAGAAAAGAGAAGGATTGGAAGGATAAGAATAGAGAAAAAAAGGAGAAAGGTAAAGAGAGAGGGTCAAAGTTGAGGGAAAAAATAAGAGGGGAGAGAGAAAGCAGAGAAGGAAAGAGGAAAGAAGAATGGGTGGAAGAAAGGAGATTAGAGAAAGAAATGAAAAAGAGAAGAGACCAGATAGTATAGGGATTAAGGCATTTGTCTTGCTTGCATGCAGCAGACTATGGTTTGGTCCCCTGAAAACTCCCAACCATAGTCAAGAGTATCCCCTAAGTACCACCAAGTATGGACAAAAACCATCCAAAAAATAAAGAAAGAAAGAAAGAAAATGTGAGACAAATAAAGAAGGGGAGAGAGGAATGAGGAAACAGGAGAAAGGAAGGAAGACGATTTTTAACGTACAATTTGGTTTAATAATCTATCATATGTGTAGAATATCACACACTAGATTAAGAATTTTAACCCAGTTTTACCACTATCTTTTTAGTGTAATATTTATTGGAATTGTAAGCACCTCCATTTCCCTATTCATGAAAAAATATTCTTTAACTCTATTATAAAGGTCATGTCATTTCATTTTGAATTCTAAGTATGAACTATTTAGTTCTTAAACAGATGATTATAAGAGTACTTTAAGAATGAGAGTACTTCACAAAACCTGAACCCAAAACCTCTTCTACCACTAACAAACTGGGTAATCTCTGGCAAGTAAGCCAACAAGTTTCCTTGAGACCCAGTTTCTCCTTCTGAGATAGGAATAATAATGATGCCTTTCATACCTACCTCCAGATTTTCCTGGGGATAAATGAGACAGTATGTGTAAGCACATGGAAAACTGTGAAGCACTGTGCAAGAAAGCACTATACGTATCTTGACTATGGATAAATATTTTCCAAGGAACTAGTTTGTGTTCCTTGTTTTGTGGGGATCTAAATTTGTACATAGTTGCAGCATTTCATGCAGACCATACAGTGTGTTCAGATAAACTTGACTGTAACTGCTTAGACAGGATGCCTGCATATATATTTGTGTGTATATATAGCCACCCGTCAAGTGACTGAGAGATTAACTGGTTGAGTTGACATCAGGAAAGGCGACCTAGAGAAACAGGAAGGATGGCCAACTGATAACAGCATGGTTGGGTTATTGCATGACAGCTCTTTGTCTTAAAAAAAAACATTTACATTCTGATATTCAGTGGGACTATTTCAGCTTTGTTCAATCCCTTGAACGCAAGTCTGGGTAAAATACAATTCAACAAAATATTTATGCTGAAAGGAAAGTGAAAAAAGGAAAAAGATGGGCTATTTAAACACTTATTGCTATGTGCCAGACATTGAGGTAGATGCCTTATATTTATTTTCTCATTTAATTCTTATAGCAACTTTTATTGAAAAAATAATAATTAATGTTTAACAAGCTGTTACTATGTACCAGGCTCTGTGCCAAATCCTTCAAGTACATTCGCTCATTTAATCCAAAGGGAGATTATGAAGTAGCACCAATGAGGGCACTGAAGCTCAAAGAGGTTAAGTATTTTCAGTCATATAATTACTGATTCGGGGAGCCTGGATTTTTACCAGATTTGGGTCTGCGATACCCAAAAGCCTAACTAAGTTTTGTGCTGCTTAATTTTCTAGCCCAGAAACGGGCAGGATAGTCTAAAGTCATGTTGAGATTACAAATAAGTGTTATCTTGTACCACACAGTACAGTTCTTGATATATTTTGAGATAAGAGACCTATGTTAGCCCTGGGGGTAGAAAACAAATTCTTCAGTACTGTTTCTTGTGATCCAGGATCTCTTCTAAATTCTTTACATATTTTAACTTATTTTTTCTTCATATTAAGCATATGAGGCAGATATTTCCATCATCTTTATTTTACAAATAAGAAAACTGAGTTATAAAGAAATAAGTAACTTGCACAACAGCACATAATTAGTAAATGACAGGCTCAGTCTTATAACTTGAGCTCTAAATTCCCTGTTTTGAATGAATATTCTTTTTTAGTAAGCAGAGAAGTATTTGCAGAGACAGCGGTAAGAGCTCCAGAGAGCATATATATTTAGTTCACTCCATAGAGACTCCTACAGTGCTTTGAATACAGAAAGGGAATAATCAATAGTTGTGTAAGTTGATTTTGTCTGTGGGAGCAAACAATCAATACCAACGTGGACCCAACACTGATGGGCAGCAAGGACTTGGTTTGGAAGTTAAAGAGAATGGGACATAATAGGCAAAAGAGAGACAAGAAAGAAAAAAAAAACATGGAGATACTAATACAAACTAGTAGCTCTTTTATACTTCAAATATTTTTTAAATATTTAAAACAGTTTTAATTTAATGAATATTTACTGAATGCCCACCATATTCAAGGTATGAGTAATGACCAGAAATAAAAATTCCAGTTTTTATTTATATATTTTTTGTGAAGCAAAATATTTTTTATTAAGAGAAATTTACTTAGAAAGATGTGATGGAGAAAAAGATGGTGAATACGTATTTAAGAGAGAACCTGGGCAGTGGAAAAAGCAGAGGAGAGAAAGAGAGACATACATGTTCAAGAGAGAACATGCACTTGAAAAAGCAAGCCAAACAAAGTTAATTGATAGACTCAGATGTTAACCTAACTATGTTGCTTCTGAATTGCTATTGTTATCAAGTAAGCAAAATGACCACAGTAAAAGTAAAGCAAAAACAAATGAACAGAATATAGTTCATTTTAGTTCTGTGAGTATTGTAAGTTGTAAATGTACTTTCTTTTTCTTTGTGTTTTACCGAAGGCATTTGTTTCCCAGTTTTTCCAGATGTAGGTGTACATCTTGCTGAACCTGCTTGGGCTGACGATATGAGTCAAATAGTAGGCACCTTGTGACAAATAGTATAATTACTGGGAGATTTAGGTGCAAGGTCTAATAACCCTAGATCAGCCCCAGTTGCCAGCAATGCAAGTAGTGAGGTATTATAGGGCTGGAGAACTAGACCATGAATGAAAGCACAAGTTAGCCTACTTTAGGGTAAAAGTCACCAACTGAAAATCACTAACAGAAGAAGGAGAACCTTACCAGAATACTGGCTACCTTTGCAAGGGTATTTGTCATGACAGGGCACACAGTGAAGTGATAGAATTGAGTGGTGGTTAAGTTGTGGTAGACAACCTTTGCTAGCTGTATTCCTGAGACTGCACACCTTATTGAATGTAAGTATACTTCGGTTTCCAATATAGTGCTTCAGATGCCTCATAACTAAAATAAGTAGGTCTTCCAATTGGCTAATAAATGTTGTTGCAGTTCTCTTATTGGGATGACAAATTGGCAAATTATGTTGCAGGTCAGTTGGTATTGGTTACATTACCTACCAAGTAATGTAGTTAACTTGGGTGAAGTCGGAGCAAGGAAAGTAGCTTTGAGAGAAGAGTGCTTTCCTCCTATACTACTTGGACTTGGTCTCCCTGGGAAATGCATAGGAGGGATAAGATGGGTAAAGTCTTCCACCAGCTCCTATGCATCACGGACACTAGCGTCTCATTAGCTCCACTTGGCACTCATTAGGCTTCACCTGAAGTCCCCTTGATCTCGGTGGCATGGAATCAGTCCCCACCACCTGCAGTTCTCAGGGAACCATGATCACAGACTGGAATGAGGAATTGCTCTTTGCATGGAAATGAGAATCAGATGGCGGCTGCGTGGCAGCCAGCGCCAGAGCTGGCGGAGCGGCAACAGTACTCGGCGCTCTGAACAGCAGGGCTGCTGGGGTCCGAAAAGGTGGGAACGACTGTCAGCGCCATTTAAAGATGCTCTTTCGAAAAGAGTGGCTGTTTGAGAACCAAACGGGCGCGGGTCGGAGCGGGACTCTGCAGATGGCAGCGGCGGCGGGGCGGCGGGTGCTGAAGCTGGCAGGCTCCCGCTTCTCTGTGTGCTGGGGGCAGCCGGCCGCCATGGATGAATGGGGCTTCCCGGGTCCAACTTGGAACTACCGTGGAGGTGCTGGAGTCCTGGAATTGAGGGGGCGCCGGAGTTCCCACCATGGGAGACCGGCTCGGGCAACTCGCCAGTGACAGAGCGTTGCGGCCACCATTTCTTCCAGGACCCAGCCCGCAGCATGTGGCGGAGACTATCTGGAGACCAACGATGGGGGCGTGTGCTCCCTGGGCAGGTTCTGCCAGATTGCAGCGCCACCCAACACATGGTGGGGGTTGGAGGGTGGGGGGAAGGGAAGGTCAGGGTATCCGCAAGCTGATGGTGCCCTGGGCCTTGCCTCTGGCCGGACTCCAATGACTCAGGACCAAATTTTCCTAGAAATTAAACCATCAAAAGTTAGGTAGTGGGTAAGTCTGCAACTGTACCTCATGATGTCTCACTAATAAAAAAAAAAGTTAGGTAGTGGGAGCGAAGTCCACAGACATCTCTGCCTCAGCCATATAAGCTCATTTATGGGGCTTCCTATATTCCTTTTCCCCCTATTTTAAAAAATGAATCACCCTTGATGTACAGTTACAGACTTACAAACTTTCATACTTATGTTTCAATTGTACAATGATAGAGGACCCATTCCTCCACCAGTGCCCATTCTTCACCACCAGTGTTCCCAGTATCCCTCCCACCACCCCCACCCCATCCTCAGCTCCTGCCTCTGTGGCATGCGCATTCTCTTTTACTCTCTCTCTCTCCTTTAGAGTATTGTGATTTGCAATGCAGGTATCAAGTGGCCATCATGTTCCATCTATAGTCTACTTTCAGATAGAGAAGGGACCACCAAGTCAAGGATGCTTGGAGGGCCTGCTCTGGATGGGAGATGAGTGCCTTCCCTATACTCTTGGAAGCACCAGCGGTCACTCCCATGAGCCAACTCTGGTTCCACCATCTAAGTTTTTCTACCGGCCTCCCTTCAGAGAGCCATAAATCTCAAAAGAGATCAAATGCTGCAATTAATCTCAGACCCGCCCAAGGCTGAACACATGGAGGAAAGGTTTGCCTGGTGCACATCCAAACAGAGACCCCAGCAGCCACTTGCTCCCACAATCCAAAATTGCCACTATGCCCCTGGCCAGACTCCACTGTCTTCGGACAGACCTCACCAAGATATTAATCTCCCGAAAATTTGGGTACCCAGTTTTTGTGACTGAAGTGTCTACGCTTTCTGGGGGTCGAGATGGTCTACTTTTCCCACCTCGCTGTGCCTCCGGAAGTCCCAGCAGTCATGTCTACACCCCCAAACTGCCATCCAGTTATAAAAAGCTACTCCAGATGTACCTTCCTGATAAGAAAGCTGAACGCCCTGAACAAACACAGTGACCTCTTGGCACCTGTACCTAAAACCATTAACACACAAAAGTAGAGAGAGAGAGAGGAAGAAGAATGGTGCCTGCAATAGAGGCAGGCAGGGGGTGGGGATTGGGGTGGTGGTGGGAGGGAAACTGGGGGCATTGGTGGTGGAAAATACACACTGGTGGAGGGATGGATGTTGGAACATTGTATAACTGAAACCCAAATATGAATGGCTTTGTGGCAATCTATCTCACGGTGATTCAATAAAAAAAGAGAAAGAAAGATAAAAGAAAATTAATCCTAACCTCTTCCCAGCATTTCCAGCATCATTGCCATCCCTTGCAGAAAAGAATTTCAGGAGGAGGCCATTAAGTAAAGTAGTCATTTTTAGAGAAATATTAGATAGGTGGAGGGGTGTGTTCAAGAGAGAACATGGGATTTTCCAGAGAGAAAAAAAGCTGAGAACATATATCAAGTTGAGATATGGGCAAACCTCAAGGTGGATAATGTACAGCCACTTGTCTTTCCAGAGGTGGTTTTATAGTAGCCATTTTCCCAAACTGCCCTACATAAGGCTTTGTTGCTCGAATGTGGCTAAGGGAAAGAGCCTTTAACTTTAGATGGCCTTTTCCATAATCTTATCATGACTGTTTTTAATTTCTTGGAGCTTCTCCTTTTCTGAGAGGGTCCTCCCTTCTTTGGGTTGTTCTTCAGTTGCTCTCTCTGGATGTTGCCTTCATATTTGTGGGATGATACTTCAGGGTTGGTGGCTTGGCAATTCTTTAAATCACATGTTGATATTATTGCTCCCCCCAATCACATATTGATATTATTACTTCCAAAAATGCTCATTACCAGGGGCCCCTCCTGATCCACCTGCCTGCAATTGCTGGAGAATTTCAAGGATATAGCTAAATACTGCTATGTGTGTGTATGATTCACTACACCCACCAACAATATTCTAGTGTTTTCTCACTACCAAAAAGATCCCTTACCTACTCCCTCCAACCCCTCTTTTCCTTCTGGTAATGACCAGACCATAGTTTCATCAGGTGGGCTCTTTTGTTTTGTTTTGTTTTGTTTTAGTATAGTTTTATACTTTACAGCATTTTAAAAATTGAATCACCATGAGATACACAGCTACAAAGTTGTTCATTATTTGGTTTCATTCATATAATGTTCCAACATCCATGCCTTCACCAGTGTACATTTCCCACCACCAATGTCCCCAGTTTCCCTCCTGCCACCCCCAACCCCCAGCCTGCCTCTATGGCAGAAACTTTTCTTTTTTTCTCTCTCTCTCATTCCTTTTGGGTTTGCAATACAGGTATTGAAAAAATATAATGTATATCCCCTTATCTCCTTTGAGCACTCAGTTCTTGTCCAGAGTGATAATTTCCAAACATCATTGTCATAAATGGGTTCTTTTGTTCTGTTTTAGGGTCATACCCAACAGTGTTCAGGGGCTACTTCCAGTACGTTGCTTAGGATCACTTTTGGTAGCATTCAAGGGGCCACTAGGAACTGGATAATGAAACTGGAACTCACAGGTGCATTAGTTCTATGACTTCTGTCCCTGGGCTGTATAGACTAAATTCCTAATGAATGAACTGAATATGGAGAGGGATGGAAGCCTTAGAGACCCTCATTAGCATATTAGCACAGTGTAGTTTTCAGAATAGCTAGTTGTTAATTAAAAATTCCTAGACTTGGGCTGGAGTGATAGTACAGCAGGTAGGGTGTTTGCCTTGCACGCAGCTGACCCGGGTTTGATTTCCAGCATCCCATATTGTCCCCTGAGCACCACCAGTGAAGAACAAGGAGTAGTCCCTGAGTATCGCCAGGTGTGACCCAAAAAGCAAAAAAAAAAACTTTCTAGGTTAGACTGGTGTGATAGTAGAGCGGGTAGGGCATTTGCCTCACACTTGGAGAATCTGAGTTAGATCTCCCGCATCCCATATGGTCCCTGAGCACCGTCAGGAGTAATTCCTGAGTGCAGAGACAGGAATAGCCCTGAGCATTGCTGGGTTTGATTCAAAAAAGAAAAAAAGAATTTCTAGCCTCAGACCGGTGCAATAGTACATGAGTCAGGTGCTTGCAAATGCCTTAAGCCTTGTACTATACTTCCTGTCCCTTGTCACACTTCTTACAGAAAATCTGGCTTGTTGTAGTAATGGTCATCATGTTTGTGAGCTGATATTGGTATGTCAATAGTTAAAGTGTGGATTTAGCTTAGGCACAATGTTTCCCTTAGCTTGGAAAGGGGATAAAACTCCTGGTCGCACACTTGCAAAGCAAGTATTGTTTTATCACTGAGCCATCCTCGTGACTCCCTATATTTTTGTCCCTGAATTTTCTGGAGATATCAGATATTCTTTATGTTTCTACTTTTGGACCCTACTCAGTGGTGTTCATTCCAGGTTCTGGGCTGGGGAGTCATGACCAGCATTGCATGGAGTCAGGACTCAAACCTGAACCTACTACATGTACAGCACACACTTAGCCCATTGATCTATCTCTATGGCCCAACATAAGATATTATTATCACATTGATTTGGGCATAGACATAACAGACTCCTGGCGCGAATTCCACAGGAACTCTCCGGGACAAGGTGTGTGTTAGCTGGTTCTCTTCTCTGCATTCTTAAAAAAGAGCAGTTTAGTGAAGTTCACACTAAGTAAAAAGAGGGGAAAATGCAAATAGTGGAATCTCTAACATGTCTGTTGTAATTGTTCTAATTTTTTTTGTTACAGTCATCCGGTACAACAGTGATCTGGTGCAGAAATACCACCCTTGTTTCTGGATCGATGGGCAGTATCTCTGCTGCTCTCAGACAGCCAAAAATGCAATGGGCTGTCAAATCTTGGAGAACCGGAATGGAAGTAAGAGATCTGATATCTATGATTGGATTATATCTGTCTATGATATGTCTCCTTTTTGACTCTATCCACTATTATCTCAAAGGGTCTGTCAAACATGGTATCAGGTTGTATCCTTTGATCACTGTAGCAAGGAACCTGGAGAAGGAATTTGGGGGTGGGGGCAAATCTAGTAGGTGTTCAACTTTACAAGCTGTGTGACTTGCTATGCTATATTGACCCAGAAATTTTCTAACTTGCCTAATGGCACTGTGAGCAAAGTCTCTAGCTAACCTTATCCTAGCTATTTCCTAAGATACATTTTTCTATTATAACTTGTTTCTTATTTTGCAGGTTTAAAACCTGGGAGTTCTCACAGAAAGACAAAAAAGCCTCTCCCCCCCACACCTGAAGAAGACCAGGTATACAGGGAAATTGGGTACTGCTACTGCTTAGGTGGAAATTTTACTCAGAAACATACCTAGAGGCCCAAGATATAGCATAGTGGGCAAGGTGCTTGCTTTGCACACATCCCACCCAGGTTCAGTCCCCAGCACTGCATATGTCTACAGTTAGGAAAATCAGGAATACTTAATTGTTTTAGCTGAAAAACATGAAGATGAAACAATATAACAGAGAACATCTGTATGTCCACTACCTAGATTTTTTCACTAATATTCTACTTAAAATCTTGACTTTGATTATGTTTTGAGGTCTAGAAAACCCTTTCTTAGACATTATAAATAAACAAGGCAGGAATTACTAAACTCATTTGACAAAAAAGTAATTGTAACTAGTGCCAAGGCATTCTGCCTATGTTGTACGCTTTTATTTGTGGGAGGGACGGTGTCAGGGAAGCTTTAAAAATATGGATACCAGGGACAGAAGAGATAGTACAGAAGAAAAAGCACTTACCTTGCATGTTTGAGGCCCTGGGCTGGATCCCCAGCATGGAAAAAAATACCAAAACCTGTGTCCTTTCTCTGTCTAATTGGTCTGTGAACTATACCAGTGTCAAGGTTTTCAATCACCCTCTAGGTGATTCTGCTATGCTTTCCAGGCTGACAACCTTTGCATAGGGAGCTTTAAACATGATGTTAAGGACCAGAGGGGATAGCACAGGAATTTGGGGTGCATGAAAAACATTCATCTGTACCAGTTTCAATCCCAATGCCATTGGTCCACAGCATTTCTAGGTATAATCCTGGTGGACCCTGAGCCCTGCTGGTGTGACCCCACTGATCCCTAGCACCGTGAAGCCCGAGGTGCACCACATCTTAGCGTTGTATTGTCTGACTAGGTTTGCAATTCTGAGACAGGTTTCGTGAACACTCCAGAACTTGGGAGCACCCCCCCCCCACAAAATATTAGATCATTTTGAATGAATGTAAATAAACCTTGCACTGTGCCTAATTTGAATTATAAAAGTATTTCTAGTAAGTAGGGGGAAGAGAATACTTGATGTCTAACCAACACCCCACTTCTTTTCATCCCCAACTACTCAGATCTTGAAAAAGCCACTGCCCCCTGAGCCACCAGCAGCACCAGTCTCTACAAGCGAGTTGAAAAAGGTTGTAGCCCTTTATGATTACATGCCAGTGAATGTCAATGATCTCCTGCTGCAGAAGGGCGATGAGTATTATATCCTGGAGGAGAGCAACTTACCTTGGTGGCGAGCACGAGATAAAAATGGGTCAGTACAGGGGCTGGAGTGAAAGCACAGTGGGTAGGGCACTTGCCTTGCATGTGGCCAATCCAGGTTCAACACATATGATCTCTTGAGCTCTGCCAGAAGTGATCCCTAGACATAGAACCAGGAATACACAACAATGTGGCCCCCAATATTTTAAAAAAGGAATCATTCTTCCCAACCCCAAGTGAATCTACTGTTCTTTCAAGTACATTCCAGGGGACTGGAGCAATAGCACAGTGATAGGGCATTTGCCTTGCACGCAGCCAACCCAGGTTCGATTCCCAGCATCTCATATGGTCCCCAGAACACTGCCAGGAGAAGTTCCTGAGTGCATGAGCCAAGAGTAACCCCTATGCATTGCCGGGTGTGACCCAAAAAGAAAAAAAATCAAGTACATTCCAGAGTGAGTTCTGCACATGGTCACCTTTCAGAGACTGGAAGCTTAGACCCACGTGTCATGGTGCACATAAACTCAAGGTTGCATTTACAGAAGTGACACACTTCACTGGCTTATCCCTGCATCAGTAACATGACCATTTCTGAGGGAGAAGTATGTTCTCTATAACTCCATTTGAGATGATTTCTGAGTACAGGGTTCTGAGGACAGGGGCATCAGTCTGTCTCTCCCGCAAGAAGGGGAGTAATACATAATGAACTATTTTCTTCCTCTACAGGAAGGAAGGTTATATCCCCAGTAACTATGTCACTGAAGCAGAAGACTCCATAGAAATGTATGAGTGAGTATGCTTATGTTCCCAGCATACAGAGGGACGTATCGAGAGGAACCAGAGTATATACATTTTTATGCATTTAAGCATTTTTTTAAAATTTCAAGATTACTTACTTTCATCAGTGCCAATGAGGTTGAATGATACCACCATCTCAAGTTACTGCCCGTGTATAATGCCACCATCCAGTCAAAATATTCCTCTGCTTGTGAAAGCTGCTGAGGTCATTATGTGCCTCCCACCCCCTCCACTAGTTCAGAAGAGCTACACTAACCACATTCAAATAAAAGGAATTGAAAACGTGATAAGGAAGAGTGGAAGTATAAAATATCCGCCTTTGTCATTTCTCCATAATCATGGATATGTATTGCTATCGGATGCCCTTTCCCTGATTCCCCTAACTCCCCACACACCCATTGCCACCTTCTGGTACCCACCTTTGCCTTCCAATCTCCAGTTTCTAGGCTTTTCAGAGCCATTCAGGCTTCAGGAAAATGCTACACTGTGCTATTCACACTCAATTAAAAGGGTTTGGGGAATAGGCTTAATAACTGGCATAATCAAGACTTGGAGGGGGCTCAATTGATGAGCTATATAGGCCATGCCTTTAGAGCCACTACAGCACTCTCCATTCACAGGTGGTATTCCAAACATATGACTCGGAGTCAAGCTGAGCAACTGCTAAAGCAAGAGGTAAGTGTTCAACTGCAAGCAAACAGCATTCTCCTGTACAAAACTCAAAGTCATGAAAGGAGGACTTTCTGCTGCCCACTACCTCCAAGCAAAATGATATCAAGGACCTATGATTTTATGGAGTCGCAATTGCACTTTTCCCTATCAAATGAGGCTGCAGTTCCAACGTGGAGCTTCCTAGTAGAACCAGGGATGTTCTATTTTAACTCTGATTTGGGAAAATGATAGGCAGTTTTGAATAGCCCTTTCTTCTTACAGTCAGTTTTGTTTCTGTTGTTTCAGGGAAAAGAAGGAGGTTTCATTGTCAGAGATTCCAGTAAGGCTGGAAAATACACTGTCTCTGTGTTTGCTAAATCAACAGGGTAAGAACTACTGTTGCTCACAGTGGTGAGGATAAAGTCCAGGCTAGGGGTGGGGTTCCTCCTAATATCTTCTTAAGGCTGGAAAATACACTGTCTCTGTGTTTCCTAAATCAACAGGGTAAAAACTACTGTTGCTCACAGTGGTGAGGATAAAGGACAGGCTGGGGGTGGGGTTCCTCCTAATATCTTCTTAATGATGTAACTCTCTACTTTCTCTATCTCTTAAATTAAAAACTCATCTCACTTCTTGGGTCCTGCTGGTTACTAAGTTGATGACTGAGCTTCCACTTTTTCAGAGACCCTCAAGGGGTGATACGCCATTATGTTGTGTGTTCCACACCTCAGAGCCAGTATTACCTGGCTGAAAAGCACCTTTTCAGTACCATCCCCGAGCTTATTAAATACCATCAGCATAACTCCGCAGGTGAGTAGGAGGTCACAAAAGCAGAAGGGTATGGCAATCATCAGGAGAAGCAATTCAGGTCTAGGTGAGAGGGAAAAAATAATTTCAGGGGTCATGAGAATTAGATGTAAAGTAATCAGTCCTCTATGATGCTGGGTAAAGTCAAGTAAAGAAGTACTCAAATACAGTCCTTTTGCTTTTTTTGTGATTGATATTCTGTGCTAAGGAGAGGAGGAATCAGAAGAGACTGGAATTAATTAGTCAGAAACTATTCATTGGGTTCCTGGTAAGTACTCAGCAATTTCCTCTGAACTAGAGGAGAATTTAGGAACATTATTAACAAAGGTCCTTATTCTAAAAAGACATACAGGTTAGAAACCATTTGAAAACCGTTTCTAAATAGTGCAAACATTCTGACAACTGGGAAATTGATGAGGGCACGGTTAGAAGAGAAAAGATGCACTGAGAAGGCAGGATGTGTCCTAACCCTGAATTAGGAGGTGGGGACATATTTAGTGGGGGATGTATTTCAATTTGTATTTCTTTTTTTCTGTCCCCAAAAACTCTTTTGTGAGAGGATACAGTTCCAGACAACCTGAGTTTATGAAGATCTTCTGGGATTCAAAATGCACCCATAGCATGATTCTCTCTGTTGTTTCAGGACTCATATCTAGGCTCAAATATCCAGTGTCTCAACAAAACAAGAATGCACCTTCCACAGCAGGCTTGGGCTATGGTAACTGCTTATTTGGCTAGGGTTGGGTGGATTGGCCAGTTGCAAGGACTACCTTTGACACACCCCAAAGCATCCTGATGGTGTGCTCTCCTGTATCATCTACCTCAAGGAAGGTTAAGACAGCCAAGCAAAAGTTATAATTTCTCTCTCTTTGGTTTCCTATACTGAAACTGTAGAAAAATCTTTTAACAAAGAAATTTTTAATTATGGGCAAATAAAAATACATCCATAAAGTGACGTTTTTCTCTTTTAAAAATTATAGTAACATTGGTTTATAACACCAATGATTTCAGATATATAAATTATATATCAGCATTTTTACATACTATCTTTTGCCCATCACCAAAAGTCTAGTTTCCATCCATCACCATATAATTGACTCCTTTTATCCAAAAGTATTTTAATTTTGTTTTTTATATTTTTATTTAATTAAACAATAAGATTTACAACATTATTGATAGTTGAATTTTAGGCATATCAATACCAATTTCACCACCAGTGTCAACTTCCCTCCACCAGTGTATCCATATCCCATCCCACTCCCACTCTCTGCCTATTATTCAAAGTATTTTGAAAAGTTTTTAATTGATTGAGCCTCTGTTATTTAAAGAGTTGTTAATTTATGATTTCTCAGGGCCAGAATGATAGTAATATATTGGTAGGATGCTTGTCTTACATGTGGCTGACTTGGGTTCAATCCCCAACATACCACATGGCCTTCCAGCCTCCTCCAGGAGTGATTCCTGAAATCAGAGCCAGAAGAAAGCCCTGAGAACTGCTAGGTGTGGCCCCAAAAGACAAAAAATGTTGGTTTCTCATGAACAGAATTCCAACACCACACCCATTACCAGTGCAAGAACTCCAATGCCCCCTTTCTTTTTTTTCTTTTGCTTATTTTATTTTATTATTTATTTTTACTTTTTTTTAGATTTTTAATGCCCCCTTTCAATCCAAAAGTATTTAAATGGGCTTTCTAGCTTACCTTCTTGCCTTATATTCTAACTTGTAAAATCCCCCAATTCCCCCAACCAGTAACTCCCTATCCCTTTTACGACTTGACATTTCTACTCCATTAGGCATTATTGTCTATTGTAGAAATTATACATGTGTGACTTCCACAGAGTCACACCAAGGTCTTGTTATTATAGGATCATGGGAAATCGATCCAAAGGACCTGACATTCTTGAAGGAGCTGGGGACCGGACAATTTGGGGTAGTGAAGTATGGGAAATGGAGAGGCCAGTATGATGTTGCCATCAAGATGATCAAAGAAGGCTCTATGTCTGAGGATGAGTTCATTGAAGAAGCTAAAGTCATGATGTGAGTTACAGCCCATACTACGTTCTCAATTCTTTTGCTAGAGTCTGAGAATTACCAAGACAATTCCCAATGTGGTTTTACAGTTAGAGGATTTTGGAAACAGGGCCTGAAGTTAGCCTTTGATGGGATGGGTAGGAGGCCTAACTTCAATGAAAATAATTTTTCTGCCTTAGACATTGGTTCTTAATAATGTTGATCATAAGGATGTACCATCTTAAGTAGCATTTAGGAATAGATAGGAAGACCGATTCTAATATAGCTTTGGAATCCACTCAGCCTGATCCTCAATTTGTTTCCTGTTCTGTTGATGTGTTCCAAATGTTTGCTTACCCCAACATATCAGGCCCTTTGCAGGGTTAGGAGGAAAATGATTGAAGAAAGGCAATTTGCTGTTATGGTCTCTTTGCTCTACTCCTAATAAACTCCTTATCTCTTGAGCCCCTTTATGGCTCATATGAAGAACCAGAAAGAGAATTTATTCTTTATGTACCCTATAGGAATCTTTCCCATGAGAAGCTGGTGCAGTTGTATGGAGTATGCACCAAACAGCGTCCCATCTTCATCATCACTGAATACATGGCTAATGGCTGCCTCCTGAACTACCTGAGGGAGATGCGTCACCACTTCCAGACTCAACAGCTGCTGGAGATGTGCAAGGATGTCTGTGAAGCTATGGAATACCTAGAGTCAAAGCAGTTTCTTCACCGTGACCTGGTCAGAAGGATTGGCTTAAAACAAAAGGCTCAGGTGGGAGGGGGTAGGAGAGGAGAGTGGTAGAGAAGAACCTCTCATACACAGATAAGAGGGTTGCTGGTTTTTAAATCAATTCATTTGATCTAGAAAATACTAAAAAACAAGGTTTGCCTCTATCCAAGTAGTCAGTCAGTTAAGGATCTCCAACCTAAATACACATTTTGCCATGGTGGAAGCTCACTCCCAGCTCCCTGCTGCCCCAAGGAAATGATGGGTCCTTCAGCAGCTAAAGGACAACTCACTTCCCAATGTAACTGTTGCTGGTATCATTTTGGCTATGTCAGTACCAAAATGGGGGCCTGTAGTTGTGTTTTAAAAAAATCATTATGTGATGGTTAGCAGACACATAAAAGGAAACATTTTATTGGCCAGGGAAGTAGCTCATGCATGCAGAGTGCATCTATGGGGCCCTGGATTTGACACTCCACCCCCAGCGCCAAAGAAAAAACTGTTTATATTAGAAAACTGAATTTGTACTTTCTTTAGAAAATCTAGATCATCTTGTAAAACTGAATCCAAATTTACAGTTGTGCTGCCAGTCAACTGGAGCTCAGGAGTTAAGCTGACAACTTTTTTCTGGGAAAGGACAGTGGTTTGAGTCACACCCGCTAGTGCTTAACTGGACAGCAATTAAACAATAAAGCAATGATACACTACTCTTTAGCCCCCAAGATACCTCTTTAGACTAGCCCCTTGATCTCCTCTACTTTCCTCAAATCTCCACTCATTCCACATCACTTTGCCCCTGCCTGGCTTCTGGAGGGAGAAGACTTTGTGCCCATTTATTTCAACCAGGCCCAGCAGCAACCTTTGTACACCTGGCAAATAGAAAGGAAAAAAGGGGCCAGAACCATAGTAGAGTGGGTAGGGTGCTTGCTTTGCATGAAGCTAACTAGGGTTTGATCCTTGGTACCCCATATGTTTCCATGAGCCTCACCAAGAGTTATCCCTGGGCACAGAGTCAGGAGTAGCCCTGATTACTGGACTTACTTTTTTGGTAAAAAGTTAAAAAAAATAATAGAACAAAAAAATAGAAAAATAAACTTATCTTCTAGTCTCCCTTAATCCCCTCATTATTGTAGCAAAGCATTGTAGAAGCGTGTAGTGTCATGCAATTTCCGATGTGAATGAAAATCTGCATTGTGGATTATTTTATACAAGGTAGAAAAGCATCAAAATTTCTCAGTGGCAGGTCCAGGGATGTGGATCAATAGTAAACTGCACGTCTTGCATGCATGAGACCTGGATTTGATTCCTGGCACTTCCTAAATATTTTGGCCTGGGAGATAGCGGAAAGGGCTGAGCATACTGGAGGCCCAGGTCCTATCCCCAGCAATATACAGTCTCCTGTAAACCCCCAGGAGTAAGCCTCCAGATTCCCAAGTCTTTCCACCTGTAGTGGTATCAGCTTAACTTTGTTATAGGTAGGAAGGTAACTTTGGTTAAAAAAGGTTTCCCTGGCTTCTTATTCCATGCTATGTGCTTTAAACCGGTACGTGAGGGACGAGACTCACTGATATCTGTTGCACTACAGGCTGCCCGAAACTGTTTGGTAAATGATCAAGGAGTGGTTAAAGTATCTGACTTTGGTCTGTCCAGGTGAGTGCAACTCTTTCATCTTCCTTCTTAAAAATCACATAGTACAGGGGCTGGAGCAATAGTACAGCGGGTAGGGCATTTGTCTTACAAGTGGCCGGCCCGGGTTCAATTCCCAGCATCCCATATGTCCTCTGAGCACCGCCCGGAGTAATTCCTGAGTGCATGAGCCAGGAATAACCCCTGTACATCACCAGGTGTGACCCAAAAAGAAAAAAAAAAATCACACAGTACAGGTGGAATCACTCTAGTTTTTAATGGTCTTCCTTTTTTGGTAATCTTCATTTTTCTGACCATATCCTTTCTCTCTGAATTGTCACTTCTTTCATTCTTTTTTTTGTTGTGCCCCTCTTCTTCCTTTCTTCTTCTCTTCAGCTATCTTTCTAGCTTTTTCTCCCAAATCTATTAAACCTGTTCGCTTTACTCAATCCTTCCTTCTTCCCTAATCAGTCTAATTCCCACAGGCAACTGCAGAATATAAAGGAAGGACAAGAAATGAGAAAGGAAAGAGAGGTAGAGAAGAGGAAGGGAGATATCTGTTAGATGTTATTTCACTTCACCCTCCTGTAAACCATGCTGTCAATAAGGAGCCCTAAAACAAATATGTTTTTAAGAAAATAACATTTGTAAAAGATTTTGGTCGGTCAACAGAGGCTGTTGAGAAAGATTGTAGGCGTGTGCAACTCTTGTGACTATGCCTAGAAAACTTCAGCATACAGCATCTCCACATCCTAATAATAACAAGTCCACAATCCTTTGCAGGTATGTTCTGGATGATGAATACACGAGCTCAATAGGCTCCAAATTTCCAGTCCGATGGTCTCCACCAGAAGTCCTTATGTATAGCAAGTTCAGCAGCAAATCTGACATTTGGGCTTTTGGTGAGTGGATAAGGTTATGCAGATAATATAACTCTAAAGATGAGGAAGGGGAATAGTTGGATTTTTGTTTTATGTGTTTTGTTTGTTTGGGGATCACATCTGTGATGCTCAGGGTTTACTCATGGCTCTATAATCAGGAGGCTATATCTTGTTCTTGAATAGAATCTGAATAGAACACACAAAGCAAGTGCCTTATCCACAATACCATCTCTCTGGCCTCTACTTTTTGATTTTTCTGTTTGATTGTAACTTCAACTTTGATAGCAGGAGGTGACATATTCGATATGCCAAACACAGTAACAACAAAGTCTCCAATGAAGACGTTACTGGGCCCGCTCGAGCAAATTTTAATATTGAATAAAGAAAAGCAAAAAAGGATAACCTAAAACTATTTTCCTGCTCAAGCATTTCAATTGCAAGATACTATTGAAGCTTAAATAATGACAGGAAAAAGTAATGGTCACTACATGAGTGACTGTTCTTTTTCTCTCACAGTCTCTCGATTTTATCTTTGTTTTATTGAATTCCCAAAAACATAAATTTTGGGGATTCAATGTTCATTGAGAAGTTGGCCTTAATACTAGATATGGAAGAAAACTAATAGTTATAAACTTAAGCTAACAAATGATTACTGACCTAATTTTATCTGTGAAATAGTTACCATAGTTAAATAGGCAAGGATGGGAAAACATTGCTTTCCCCTTGTTATTGATAATGAACTTTATTTTTAGAATAGTTGTAGATCCAAAGAAGAGTTGAATGTAAGTGAAGAAAATTTACTGCTACCCATCTTCAACATACACAGATACCATCAGTGTTTCTTAACAGAACTGTATATTTGTTACAATTGATGAATTTATATTGACATGTGATTAGCACCTCAATTCCATAGTTTATATTAGGATTCATTTTGGAATTTAAAAATAAATATTATTTTAAACACCCCAGCATATAATCATAAAAAATCAATTACCTGGGCTTTGTTTTAGTAAAAGATGATACAGGGGACACATGTGTTCATTGTGTTAAAAAAATAAAGATTGAGGAAGGAAAAAGGATTAATTCATGCTTGCAAACTGCAAAGAGAGAAAACTAATTTGTTTTTCTTTTTTAAGTTTTGTGTTCACACCTGGCACAGTAGTTAATGTTCACTCCTAGAATTGGTGCTCAAAGTGCTGGGGATTGAACTGGGCAAAGCCTTTGTACTAGCCCTTTGAGTCTCCCTGACTTCTGGTTCTTTCTTTCATTCATCTATTCTAGTGCTTCTCATAGTGCGCAATACCTCCTCCAGGAGATACTGGAACAATATGCATCTCCTAACCTGAGTTTTTTTTTTCCTGAAAAGGCCATGGTAGGCCATTTATGTTTTGGAAATTTTGGTCTAATCTACAGAGAATGTATAGTTATAAACTTAAATTTAACCCCAGGGATAAACAAAGTCACTATACATGACTCCTGTCTTTTTAGAATTTATACTGTGGTAAATAAACAATTCATTTAATATCCAACAGCTTCTCAATACTATGTACCAGGGATTCTGCCAGACCCTATTACTTTTAAGACAAATTAGAGGCTCTTTGGCTCTCTCCTAGAGAAGTAACAGTTCAGTGTAATACTGATAGTCCTCCAGTATGATCAGAACTATCAAAGGAGTTTGGATAGAATGCAAAAAGCACTGAGGATTGGAGAGATAGTAAAGTTGTTAGGGCACTTAACTTGCACATGGTTGACCCTGATTCAATCACCAGCACCCCATATGGTCCCCTCAGCCCCTCCAGGAATGATTCTTGAGCACAGAGCCAGGACTAAGCCCTGAGTACTTTCAGGTATGGCCCAAATAATAATAGAAATAATTGTTTAAAGAAATGCAAAAAAACACTGAGAGGGGAACCAGTTGAATACAATGTATAGGGTTGTTCTAAGATAACTATGACTGCCCACCCCCAACTCCCTGAAAAAAAACAAGAAAATGATTTAATAATTTTTCTGTCTCCTAGGGGTTTTGATGTGGGAAATATACTCTCTTGGAAAGATGCCATATGAGAGATTTACTAATAGTGAAACTGCTGAGCACATTGCCCAAGGCCTGCGACTCTACAGGCCTCATCTAGCTTCAGAGAGGGTATATACCATCATGTATAGTTGCTGGCATGAGGTAAGTCCTTTGTTAGACTAATCTAAACTCTTTCATTGAATTTGCTTTTCCATTATGCAGGGCTAGCACCCAGAACTCATTCTCCCTAGCAGCATGGTAGCCAGGCACAAACATAGTAGCATCCATTTCCCAATGTCAACCTCTTCATGGCCCAAGGCTTTCCCATGCCTGTTCTCCAAGTCTCAGTAAGATAAATTTATCAGAACCCGATCTAGCTTTATACTTTTACAAGAGAAAGTGTTGTGGGGGTCTTGTCACCTAGTAGAAGTCATCAATCAAAGGAACTAAGACTAATGTGTAAACATTAAAACCTTGGGGCTGGAGTGATAGTATGGCATGTAGGGCCTTTACCTTGCACACTGCTGACCCAAGTTCAATTCCCACATCCCATATGGTCCCCCAAGCACTTCCAGGAAAAATTCCTGAGTGCAGAGCCAGAGTAACCCCTGAGCATTGCTGGGTGTGACCCCCCAAAATTAAATACATTAAAACCATAATGTCATTAACATTTAGGTGCTGAAGAGATAGTACAGTGGACAGGGTGCTTGCTTTGCACATAGTCGACCAGGATTAAATCCCTGGCACCTCATATGGGTCCCTGAGACCCACCAGGAGTGATCTCTGAATGAAGAGCCAAGAGTAAGCTCTGAACATCACTGGGTGTGGCTCAAAACCAAAAACTTAAATTAAAAATTGTTTAAATAAAATTTCTGCCCATTCTTTTAGGAGTCACTGGCCCTTTCATCTTAATGACTCTCCTAAATAAATTGTTTGCTTTTCCCACACCAGGTGTTAAATCCAGGACTTCATACTTGTGATGAGGCATGTACTCTATCATTGGGCCACATCCCTGGCTCCTAAGTGAGATTTTGTCTTTTTCTCCATCTAGTTTTTGGGCCATGTCTCTGATATGTACCCAGGCCCCATTCCTGTCTCTTTGTTCAAGGATCTATCCTGGTGGTACTCAGGGGACCTATGCAATGTTGGGGATCAAATTGGGGTCAGCAGCATGCAAGGCAAGCACCTTAACTTCTGTATTATCACTCTGGTTCACCTAAGAGAGATTAAAAAACAACTCTAATATCTGAAAAGGAACTAAAATAAATAATTCAGGATAGAAAGATAACTCAATGGGCTGATTGCATGCTTCGCATGTAGGAGGCCTGGGTTTAAACCCTGCCATCACATGTCCTCCCGAAAATCATTGGGAATGAACTCCAGCCACAGAGCTAGGAGTAGCTCCTGAGCACTGTTGGGTATGAGTCCAAAAATTAGGCAATTCTCATTAAAAAGTATGTTGCATTATGGGATCTGTGAGTGGAGCATATGCTAATTTGGTGAAAAAGGGTGTCTGTCCCACTATTACTGAAATGCTTTCCTTGTCTCACCTCATGTTCTTCCTGAGGTGCCTCTTATACTTTTCAGTAGATCCTTGGCAACCTTCATTTGATCATCTAAACCTCTAGTAGGAAATAAATACTTAATTCTACTTCATCAGATACAAGATAGGCTCCAACAAGCCCATGTATAAATCTGGTGCTCTGTGGGTAGGATGAAAAGTAGCTCTCTGGATCAGGGCATAGCTTCTTTCCTTCAACAAATGACTAAGATCACAAAGGGTGCCATTTCCCTTCTCCTATAGCAAGCAGGATTGATCAATGGTGATTGGCTCCCTTCCACCTAGAACATCTTATCTTTGTTCTGCTAGATAGTTATTTCTGACAGGCACTTTCTCCACTGCCTGTATAAAGTGGTAGTCACCAAACTACATGCACATCAGAATTCCTGAGGGCCATTTTTTGGAGGGGCTAAAATGTGGTGTGGGTCATACCTAGCAGTGCTCATGGGCTACTCCCAGCTTCATGTACTCATTCCCGGTGGTGCTTCCTGCATGCAAATGATATGCTCAACCTGTTGAGCTATCACTTTGGCCCCAAAGGAACTCTTAAAACCACAGCTGCCAGAGGTAAGGAAGTGCCTCTTGTAGATCATATGCCTTGAATGTACAAGATGCTGGGTTCCATTATCAGCAACACACAGCTCCCTAAGCACCACTGGGTGTGCCTCCCTCTCCTTCACTAAAAAACCTACAGATGCAAGAAGCTAATGTTTCAATCCTACAGAATAATTTTTTTGCTTTGGGCCATACCCTGTTACTCAGACACTATTCCAGGCTCAATGCTCAGGTGCAGCTACTCAGTGATTGGGAGATCATATGATATCAGATTTGGAACTCAGGACTCCTGCGTGTGAAGCATGTGCTACAGCCCTTTGAGCTATATCTCAGACCTAAGAAATTTTTTAAGTCAGAAGTTTATAAGTTTTACATTTAAAATTTATAAAATTAGATAAGAGATTTATATTTACAGTGGCATTCAAATTAAGTTACCAGATTCATTACTCAGTTTTCCCCATTACTTAAACTGATCCAAATATTCAAAGCAGAGGTAAATCTAATACAAATAAATGTAATATAAAACCAACTTATCCAGGGCCAGGGAAATAACTCAAAGGGCTAGTGTTCATGCTTTGCAAACTGGAAACCCAGATTTGATCCCTAGAGCTGCATGGTTTCCTGAGCACTGTGCTGAGAGTAGCCTCTAAGCACCACCAGGTGTGTCCTCCAAAGAAAATAAAACCCCAAACCTAATTTATCTTCATAGAGCACAGAACCTATATTAGAGGAAATTTTTTTTGCTTTTTGGGTCACACCCAGCGATGCTCAGGGGTTACTCCTGGCTCTACACTCAGGAATTACTCTTGGAGGTGCTTGCGGGACTATATAGGATGCTGGGAATCGAACCCAGGTCGGCCACGTTCAAGGAAAACACCCCACCTGCTGTACTATTGCTCCAGCCCCAGGAGGATATTTTTAAATAAATTTTAACTAGCATTATAAAAAATATAGATGACTGGGCTTCAGCTCCAGAGAGTCTCATTAAGTTTGTCTGTGATGGAACCCAGATATTTCTTTTTAAACTTCCCAGAAATTGATACTCAGTTGTGTCTGAGAATGACTCAAAGGAACAAGTAATTGATGACTTTTTGATTTTGATAGCTTGAGACTTTCTGGCATGACTATGCCCTGAATCACTAAAAAGCACAGGAGCCTAAGAACCATAACTATCAAAAAAGGGCCTTAGTCTGAAGGCCAGACAGTGGTAACAAAGGGCTCCAGTTCTCATAATCCCAGTTCAGAGATGCAGCCTTTGGTTTTACAATGTAAAACTCTTTATCTTTTGCTATAAGATGACAGAAACAGTGTTTTAATTTATTTAGTCAATACTAGCAAAGTTTATTTGACAAAGAGCTTGTGTTTGTGGGGGGCATGGGGTCATGCCCAACCCTGTTCAGGGATGCTGTGCTCCAGAGGTCATGGCCTGTGGAGCCCAAATCAAACCCATCCAGGTCTCCCACATGTAAAACATGTGCACTAACCCTTTGAGCCAGTTTCCTGGCCCCTAGCCTTTTGTTTTAAATTTTTTGGCATCTTAGGGCTGGACTGATAGCACAAAGAGTAGGGCATTTGCCTTGCACGCAGCCGACCTGGGTTCGATTCCCAGCATCCCATATGGTTCCCCAAGCACCGCCAGGAGTACTCCAGCATGAGCCAGGAGTAACCCCTGTGCAATGCTGGGTGTGACCCAAAAAGCAAAAAAAAATGGGAGTGGAAAATTCTATCATATTTATGGACACATGCAATCATTTGGACTTACATACTTAGTATAAAAACTGTTTGGACAATAAATCATAAAGAAGATGTGTTTCAAACCAAATTACAAACTATCACAATGTATAAAAATTCAGTTCTGTCAACTTTGGGAACTATTTTTCAATTGAGGATCATTTTGGTGCACAATTATATAAAGAATTTGCCAGGTTTTAATTATTTGCCAGGTTTAATTATTTGTTTAATTTGCAAATTGTTGTCTCCATGTTAATGACCTGAGTTACTAAAGATGAAAAGGACTATATGGAACAATTTTGTTTACTTTACCTTTTAGTAATCGAAAGGGTTTGCTGCTGGACATGATGGATATACTTAATAAGCATTTGCTGCTTACTCATTGCATTTTCCTTAAGTTCTGCATCGTAGCCCATTATAACACTGCCTTTAAAAATTATTTTATTTTATAAAGTTGTTCATAATAATTTATTACATTCAATATTCCAACACCAATCCCATCACTATTACACCTTCCCACCATCATTATTTAGAATTTCCCCACCACCACCCAAACCTGCCCAAAGACAGATCCTAAATAATGTATTTTGTATTGCTTGTTATGACTAATCTGCTAAAAAGGATCCAAAAAACTTTCCTTAGATGAATGTGAGTGAAGAGTATTGTATCTCACCCTGGAGACATTAAGCTCTTGAATAAGAGATTACTAACATGTTGTTAAAGGTTGAGCCTTGTATGCTAATATTTTCTTTTTTTGATCACGATCCATAACACTGCCTTTTATCTTTGGTTTTAGAAAGCAGATGAGCGTCCCACTTTCAAAATTCTACTGAGCAACATTTTAGATGTCATGGATGAAGAATCCTGAACTGATCAATAAGCTTCTTCATTCTACTCCTCTCCTCCAAAAAGCCCCAATTTCACTTTCTCTAAAGAAATCCTAGATTAACAACGCTGGGGACTATGTGTTCTCATTGAATACACAAACGACTCTCACTCTACATCTAGGAATGCCTCTCTTCTTTGATTCCCTGGGATAACGCCTTTTGAACAAAGGCCAAGGAATTATTGGGCCTGGTTATTGCCCTCCGGAGTGGAAACTTCCCCAGAGTATTATTAAGTCAGACTGCATTTGAGACGGAAAGATTTTGGAGAAGGGCAATGTAAATAGCCTAAGAAGGAGGGTGTAGCAGCTCTTTGGGTATGCATTAAAGTTTGGGGGAAGGAAAGCAGAAAGTGTACGGGGGCGGGGGGGAACGGTGTCAAAAATAGTAGGGGAGAGTGTTTCGGTAAAATAAAATTCCTGGAAAACATGAAAGTTTCTTGCTATCTCAACGAATCATACAGCTTCGCTGAAGCACTCTCCCTGTATTCCAGAAAGCGCTGTGTGACATTGGTTTGGTGTAATTTGACACTGAGAACTCGACTGAAACCTCGGCATTTAACCCTTCTAGCACTAGAGCTGTGTCTCTTAAGCACGGTGGAGCCACAGCACGGTGACTGGCACACAACAGGCATTCAACACTAACCGAAGTGATTCTGACTATTGGAGACAGCCTTTGTTGCGGCTCTTTCCCCTTACTTTGGGAGGGGAAAACACCAGTAAAGTAGAAGCGGGGCCCCCTGGATCGCTCACGAAGGGCGGTGCGCGAGCAGAGCCGCTCGGACAGCACCCGCCAATCTGGCAACGGGCCACCGGGCGGGACCGTGAGGCCATGCAGGAACTGTCCACGTGGTTTTAAATAAGTTCCTTTCGACTTTGTAACTCCACCCCCCTCCTTTTTTCTTGGGAATAACTTCTAGATCGCGACGTTGAAGCGCCAGCCCCGCGACCCCAGGGCGCACGCAGGATACTGCAGCCCGACTCGGGACGGGAGCGCGGAGCGGCGCGCGGCGCGCGCGGGCGAGCCGGCGGGCCGCGCGGGGGGGGGGGGGGGGGGGGCGGGGGAGGCAGCGCGCAGAGCCGTGCGCAGACGCAGTGCACTTACGCTTACGGGGCGGTCCCCGAGGCAGAGGATTGTGGTTCCACTTCCGTCTTGGAGACACGTGAAGGTCGGTGAGTTGGTGCGGAGTTCAACTCGGCACGCGGGGTCGCGCCGGGATGGATTCCTCCTCGTCTTCCAACGCGGGGGGTTTGGGCTCCGTTGACCCGCAGCTGCAGCACTTCATCGAGGTGGAGACACAGAAGCAGCGCTTCCAGCAGCTGGTGCATCAGATGACAGAACTTTGTTGGGTGAGGATTCTAGGGCTGGGTCCCGGCCGGTGCACCTACTTTTATCCCATCCTTGCCCTGCTTTTCGTATTCGGGGAGGGGGAAGCACCCGGCAGCACCTGTTGGGATTCCTCGGGGAGAACGGGTTACTCCACTTTCCGAGGGGCTGTCACACCGGACTTGAGCTTTGCTGGTGCAGAGGTCTGGGGCGCGTGCAAGAGTTACTCCGCTAATCCAACAAGCACTTTCAGGAATCAGAGGTTGAAACTGTCTAGTTCCCGTCACTCCAGTTTATCAGAGCCGGAGTGCTGGGATTAAATTGGGCACCACGTGTCTCAGAGAGTCGGTCATTTTCGCTTTCCTGGATTCTTCAGGTTTACTTTGAGCACCCACGTCCACTAATTCTCCCGACGTGAGAATTGACTGGCTCTAGCCCACTATAAGAAAGTGGCTTAACGTCTCCCAGCGCACACACTTACTCGCCTTCTTGTTGGGTGGTTGTGTAATACCAGGAGGCTTTGGGTCTGAAGGTTGAGGGATTTAGTATGCCCCGAAAGGGGACTTTGGCAAAGCCATTTGCAGTTTGGGATCAAAGTATTTTCCGACTGCCAAGGGCAGCATGACTGTCCCTTCCGTGATAGCATTTGTAGAATTCAAAAGCCAACGATAGTTCTTGAAATTGTAGGGTCTGTGGCTTTAATATAGAGCAAAGGATGATGAATGAAATTTATTTGAATCATGTAACTTGAGCTATTCCAGTCATCAGTTTCCGTAGCCCCTTACTTAGACATAGGTATTCTCTGGATTCTGATCCTTAACAAATTACCACTTGACTCATCTGCTTTGCATTATAATGTTTTGTTAAAAATCTGTGAAATTTGTTTTGTATTCAGGTGGCCAGGACTAGGGGTAGATGGTTAAGGATTTCCTGTAAGTATCTAGGCTATGGGCCCTTTCAGAGATAATTCCTTTAGTTTTTATTTACCTTGAAAGATTCCAGAATCTCAGGTCATATACATATTTTTCCTTTGCTTGGTGTTTTTTTTTATTTTTGGGGCCACATCCGACTGGCAGTGCTCAGGGGTTACTCCTGGCTCCGTGGTCAGGGATCACCCTTGGCAGGACTTCAGGGGACCATAGTCCTCACCAGGAATTCAACCAGGATCCCGCCGAAGTTTTGCCTGATGCATTATCTCTGCAGCCCCTTTGTTAAGTTTTGCTAAGTTTCTTGCTCCAGTGATCACTCTTTTATTCTGCAGTTATTTTAAAGGATGCATAGTTACAAATAAACTAAGTAAATGGCTACTTGTATGCTACTAGTTTTCTTGCTCTGTATTAGTGCTGCCATTTTTTTGGCCAGTAACTAACTTTAGGGCAAAGTATTTTTGTGCTACAGTTTCCTTCTTTGTAAAATGGGGATTAATGCTATTTGTTGTATTTTCGGAGAGCGAAATGTAAGAGTATAAAAAATTGCTCTCTGTAAAGTAAGCTGCCAAATGTGAATGATATTATATCAGATACTATTTGGGGGATAACTTTTTCTTTCTTATTGTTTTGGGAGGGTACACACTCAGCAGTGCTCAGGCATTGCTCTTGACTCAGCACTTAGGAATTACTCCTGGAGGTTTCTGGGAGCCTATGTGGGATGCTCGGGATTCAACCTGGTTTTGCTGTGTGCAAGGCAAACGCCCTACCCGCTGCACTATTGGTCTGGCCCTGATATTTTTTTCTTTTAAGCATCAAGTTTATCCCCTCTCTCCTCTTTTCTCCCTCTCATCCCAGTTCCCTTTGTGATTCTGTATCTTGTCCTGAGCAGGAGAAATGCATGGACAAGCCTGGGCCAAAGTTGGACAGTCGGGCTGAGGCCTGTTTTGTGAACTGTGTTGAGCGCTTCATTGATACAAGCCAATTCATCTTGAATCGACTGGAACAGACCCAGAAATCCAAGCCAGTCTTCTCAGAAAGCCTTTCTGACTGATATCAGCATTACCTCTTTGGAAAAGGAAGGTACTTCAAGAAATGAAGACCTATTGATGGGGTGGTTGAAGAAAGGTTATGAGGGGATTGACTACCACCTGTGTCACTCTTGGGTCATCCTGTCATCATCTAAGAATGAACAAAGACCAATATTATGTGTGTTTGGCTGGGGTCATATGTGTTTTTGGTTGTATTTTTTAAATGCCAATCATGTGAAGACAGTTGACAGGTGAATGGAAAATTACTAGATACATATTACTGTAATAAGGGGCTATGCTTTCCTCAAAGTCCCATTAAGTGCTTCCTATAATTTTAATAGTGGAACTGCTTTCTTTGATTTGATAGTGGGACCACATAGGTAAAATCCATCATGTGTATGGATTTATTTGTTTCAGATTTCTGGGGAGATTGATAGACATCTTTTGTTTCTCAAAAAAAAATGGCAATGGGAAAAAGAGCAATTTGGTAACTAACTCTTAGACCTCCTTTTCCAGTATTTTAACTATGAGTGCTGGGAAACCATCTGTAATGTTCATATAGTATACTTTACCTTCCTAGTTTATCTCCCTTATACTGTGAGTTAATTATATCTATGAAATATGATATTAAGATAATATACACAGCCTGAGAATCTAAAGGCCTTTAGTGATAAAGGACCCTCACCAGTGAACATAAATATTATTACTAAATTGCCACAGGAAAAAGGTAACTTATAACCCTGTATATCTCAGGGTCTCAACCATTTAAAGATGTGCCTAAGTTACAAAGATTAGGCCAGTTTAAAAACTGTCATTTCAGGTAGAAGTGCATGCCTAATGCATAGATTGCATTTACTGCATCCTTTGATCATGGAAAATAAAAGCTTCTTTAAGTTTCATGTTTGTGATTCAGAAGGTGTTCTTTTTGGGTTTGGGGCCACACCCAGCAGTGCACAGGGGTGACTCCTGGTAGTGCTCTGGGAACTAGGTGCTGAGAATCAAACCTGGGCCTCTTGCCTGCAAATCATGTGCTCTTGCCCTTTCAGATATCTCTTTGGCCCTGAGAAGAATTTCTATTCCGGTTATCACCTGTAACCTGCAAGAGATATGGTGTGGACTGTTTCCCTGGCTAAAATGTCAATCTGGGTGCCTACTCCATAGGATATATAGCACATGGTTCCAGAGATCCCCGATCTTGTGAGAAAAAGAACCGTAAGAGCTGGGATGACAAGGAATTCAATGCTGACATTTCCCTGAGTGTAGTATAACAGTGTAGTATTGATTGAACTCCCTTTTATTACAGATGCGGTTTAGACCTGAAGAGGAACTTGATAAAAGTAAATTCACAAAAATGGGGGAAGTACACAGTTAAAGAAGCCTCACATCCCTGTTTAGCTTCTGCCCGTAGAAATACTAAGAGATTTTTTTTTGTTTGGGGGCCACATCCATCAATACCTGGGAACTGGGGAAAGGTTATCTCTGTGGCCCAAAGAGGAAATTTTTTTTTTAATTTTTTAATTTTTATTAGTGAAACACCATGAGGTACAGTTGTAGACTTACAAATTTTTGTGCTTGGGTTTCAATTATACAATGATCAAATACCCATCCCTTCACCAGTGCCCATTTTCCACCACCATGGGTCCCAGTATTCCTCCCACCCCCCAACGCCCCCAACCCATCCTGCCTCTGTGGCAGGGCATTCCCTTTTGTTCTCTTTCCCAAAGAGGAAAATTTTAAATCCCAATGAAAATAAATATTTAAGTGATAACTTGGTGCCAGACATCAAACTGTTTCTCAGCATTGCCCAAAACAAAGACCTTGCCCAGGTGAAGCTTACATTGTAGAGAGGTGACATAAGAAATAAACATGTAGGGGCTGGAGAGATAGCACAGCGGGTAGGGCGTTTGCCTTGCATGTGGCCAACCCGGGTTCGATTCCCAGCATCCCATATGGTCCCCTGAGCATTGCCAGGAGTAATTCCTGAGTGCAGAGCCAGGAGTAACCCCTGAGCATCACCAGGTGTGAACCCCTCAAAAAAAGAAAGAAACATGTAAAGATG